AGTTTCTCTTACATCAACACATTGCATATGTGATGTATATATTTTACCAAAGTTTATTTTATTTTATTTTTTTTTACCAAAGTTTAGAGAAAACTAAAAGCTAGGGAAATATGAAATGGTACAGTTACTCTAGAGAACAGTTTGATGGGTTTAAAAAAATGAATAGATGGGCTGAGATTRTGGCTCAGTGGCAGAGCACTTGCCTAGAATGTGTGAGGCACAGGGTTTGATTCTCAGTATCAATAAATAAAATAAAGGTCCAYTGACAAATTATATATATAAACTGAATAGAGCAGGAAGGCATAGTGGCACACATGTGTAAGTTCATCTACTCTGGAAGCAAAGGCAAGAGARTCACTCCATTTTTTATTATGAGACCGTGTAGCTCAGTGGTAGAGCACCCCTGGTTTAAAAAAATAAATAAATATGATAAGTAAGTTAGTATGTAGCTGCCATAATACCCAGTAATTGTCATCTTGGGCATTTATCTCTGAGAAATAAAAACTTATGCCACATGAAAAACCTGTAGTAAATGTTCATAGCAGCTTTAGTCATGTGGTGAAAAACTGAATACAACTAAAATGTTCAGTAATGGATAAATGATTAGATTATATACCCATTTTTTTCTAGCAGAGTCCTTAGGACAAAATAGGTAGGAACTGTTGACACATACAATAACTTGGTAGACTTCCAGGGAAATGTGATCAGTGAAGAAATTTARTTCTAAAAGGTAATATTGTATGATTCCATTTATGTGTCGTATTTGACATGACAAAGTTACAGGAATAGAGAATGGATTTTGGGTTACAGGCGTGGGAAGGAGAGAGGAGGTAAGGTAATGTGGGGGCCCTTGTAGAGATGGAATGTTCTGAGTCAGTTACATCAGTGGAGGACTCTAGCAGTAGGGATGGTCATTGCATCAATGTCACTATGACATTGTGAAATCTGATACTTCGGTGTTGCAAGTTCTTACATTGAAGAAAACTGTGAAGAAGTATGTGGGATCTTTCTGTGTTATTTCATACAGCCGAATTGTACAAATATCTCAAAAAGTTAACTTTAAAAATAAAAAGACCTCAGGATCCTTATTGAAGCTACTACTTCTGTCTCTGCCATAATACTCTGTGGTGATCCACCTTACAGGTTCCGTGGGCCCATGGAGTTGTTAGCCTATGGATACAATCTGATGCAAACCTCCCTTTTTAACATTTTTCCTTCCTTCTGCACATTGTGGAGTTGGCAGAATCCATCTCCAAATTCTCACCTTTTTAGCAACTATATTCTCTTATTCTTATATATTCCTGGCTCTCTGCTTTCCTCTAGATCCTCAGATACTCAGACCCCTGGCTCCCTCTCACTTTAGCCTTCAGCCTCCCCACACTGCCCCTGGGTGCTGCCTGCACACCTTGCCTCGTGGCTCCCTCCTGGCAGTGCTTCCTGGGCCACAGAGGCCATTTTGGAGACTAAGGTGAAAAGAGCCTGGCCTTCTGCCTACCAGGGTGAGGTCAGAAAATATGGGGCAATATTTTAAGCAAAATAATTCCTGAAATCACACCTTAGCAAACAACAGAGTCTGCATCTGGTCTTCCTTACAACTCTAAGAATCCAACTAATACTGTTTTTCTAAGAATCTATCTGATTTTTCTTACTGCTTTTGTTTGGTCCAAGGCATATACCATCAGAGTGGATAATTTGTTGGATCATCAGATATCTTTTATATTAAAATATGCTTAAATTGCCACATAAAGTGTGCCTGTCCATGAAAGTAGACAGTTTCTCTGATCATGACTCTCTTTTTGCAGGATTGGCAAAACGCGTGGGCGCCCGTCTGCTCCTGGCCTCCACCTCGGAGGTGTATGGAGGTGAGTGGGTGGAGCCCTCGCCACAGTTGCTTCCACTAAACCTTTGTGCTGTTTGCCTCCTGTCCTGGGTGAAGAAGGAATCAAGCCCAGGATGTCGTTCTGAGAAGGCCTAGTCTGCTCAAGCTCTTCCTGTGTGTGATGGCCCCGAGGCTTTCCATCCCAGCCTCTGGGGTCACCAGGCTTGTCCTCTGAGTGAGATTAACTCTCTTATTGTATATTCTTGGAGGACTGGATCGTGTCACCTGGCCAATAAGACTCCACTGTTTTTGGTTGCACACCAGTGTTTTTTCCATTCTGCTCTTAAAGTATAACAAAATTGCATTCCATGGGGATTGTTTGGCCTGTTCAGCTGGCACATGTTATTCTTCACTKCGAGCAATGTGTACTTCATGTCTGATCCACCAGCAGCCCACAGGTTGGCCTGCCTTACCTGTTATAGAACAGTCTCTGGAAGAACCGTAAGTGGATAGTRCCAGAAAACTCCAGAGCCTGATTTAACAGCTATAGCCTTCATCATCCCTCCCAGGCCCACCAAGGCCTGGGAATTCATGTTGGTGGTAGGAGGAGGATTTTGTTTTCAATCCACCTTGGCTTCTATTCAGCCCAAAACTACCTGGGTGCAAGGTTTGGGAGAACTGTTTAGTCAATGCAGTGGGAGCCAGACCCTGGCTCCCCACTCATTTTGTATTATTGTTCTGGATGAAAGAAATGAGGAAGCCAAAGGGTAAATTGGAAGACAATTTTTTTAATGTAAGGGAAGCAAATGGAAAAAAAATGCACAGAAATTCTRATTAATGCAGTTATAATCTTTGTAACCCCATGAAAATATAGCACATCATCATCTTTGAAGTCCTGCCTCATCTATGTTTCTGTCCAAAAAGTGGAGTGACGTGTTTTTCCTTTATCCTCACCCGCCCCATTTATTATCTGCATTTTTGATAAGAGCTGGTGTCCTTTAGTTCTTAAATTAACTTTAGGGCGTAATCCTTGCAATTAGTTTGCCAGTTGCTCTACTCTGACATTTGATAAATTAACCACTTAAGTTTTGTGGAGCATTTGCTTAGTCCATTAACCTTGCAAAATATCAATAAARTGGGAAGCAATTAGAAATCATTTCTGACTAGGCCTTTACTTTTCTAATAACAAAGTGGTTTGTCCCAGTTTTTCTCCAAAGTGAAGTTGTGAAGGGACTTTTTCAGAATCTTGGTGCCTTGGGCATTTCAGCCCAGACCGTGCCAGTGCATGGTTGAATGGGTATGCCCAGCCCTCTCTTTCTTCTCCTTTGTCAGAAATTTATGACCATCTAATTTGTTGTCTGGCTTGCCCAGCCCTTGTCAAAAATCCCTGGAAAAGGTTCTAGTATCAGTCGTCTGTGAATGTAAGTCTTTGGTTTTCCTCTCTGGGAGTCTTTGCATCAATCTTTTCTACCAATGTGCAGTGAAAGCCTCACCTTTTCTTAAGGGAACAGTAAGCCACAGCCCCAGACAGAGAGACCTTACTCTGTGCTGCGCAGCGGCTTCGTGGGGGCTGCAGGGGTGGTAAGGAATCAGAGGTTTTTGCCAGATGTCTGCATGGACCCTTCCCAGCACTCACTCAAGGCCATCCTGAAGAGCCTGAAGTCAACTTCAGGAGCAAGATTAACAAGATGTAAATTAGTAACACAGAGTCGCCATATCTTTTTGTCTAGATTTCTTAACAAAGATTTATAGGTTTTCTACCCTGATTGTACTCAGAGAGTAGAAAGTTCTTGATGTACTGGATAAACTAGGTCGTAATTCACATTCCAGAAATATACTTGTACTTAAAAAGGAATTTGTTACTTGGTTTCTTTATAGTATCTGTTTCWCTGGTAGATCTTAAGGTGTGATTGATTTATACACTAGAGAAACAGAAATTGGGAATTCCATTTGCTGGTAGACACTGTATCCCTGTGTTTACCCAACAGAGGGCATCCAGCTTGTCTCATCACGGGTCTTAGATTTGTTCTGGTGACAGCAAATGTGAAAGTTGCATGTTCCAGAGATGCTGTTTGTCTGCTCTTTATTGGTACATTATAATTATATATGATAGTGGGATTCGTTATGCCATATTTATACACGCACATAATTTGATCAATCTCCTTCCCCAGTACCTTTCCTTCCCCTCCTTCCCCTCCTTCCTTCCCCACCCTTCCTGATACTCCACTCTACTGATTTCCTTTCTATTATATATTAGTATATTGTCATTAACACACATACACATGATAGCTTGTGTAACAACCTAAAAGTTAAGGACAATTTATGGAAGARAAGGGAGATTTGAGAGACTTTGATATTTTATTTTTCTTTTCTAAAATGCTATCATTAGGTCTGGGGCTGTGGCTCAGTAGTTAGAGCGCTCGCCTAGCATGTGCGAGGCCCTGGGTTCAATCCTCAGCACCACATAAAAAGAAATAAATAAATAAAGGTATTGTGTCCAGCTACAACTAAAAAATRAAATATTTTTTAGAATAAATAATTAAGTAAATAAAATGCTATCATTAGCCAGGCACAGTGGTACACRCCTATAATCCTAGTGTCTTRAGAGGCTGGGGCAGGAGGATCACAAGTTCAAAGCCAACCTCAGCAACTTAGCAAGGCCCTGAGCAACTTAGTGAGATCCCATCTCGAAAAAAAAGGGAGTAGGGGATGTAGCTCAGTGGTTAAGAACCCCTGGGTTAAATTCCTGATATCAAAAAAAAATTAAATGCTATCATTACTTAATCAGTAGTAAGAATGTCAATTCCAACTTAGGAGAATGGTATATAGAACACTGTTTCCTCCCCTCTTTGATGCTTCTCTCCATTTGAAGATGTTTGTACCTCAAAGATGCTCTATTCCTAGTGCAGATGAACTGGTTAAAAAGGAAAGATGAAAACAATCTCATTTTCCCCTGACCTATAGATCCTGAAGTCCACCCTCAAAGTGAGGATTACTGGGGCCACGTGAATCCAATAGGACCTCGGGCCTGCTACGACGAAGGCAAACGTGTCGCAGAGACCATGTGCTACGCCTACATGAAGCAGGTACTTAACCAGGTTCTGGGGCTTACATTCTAGGCACACAGAGCGTCAGCATATCAGAGGTAAAGTGTCATAAAAGCATTAAATGCTGCCATTAATTATGCCTGGGGGCAAGTGTAGGGAAGACCAGTTGCCCATTATTACTAATGAGCAGTGTTGTGCACAGCTTTTTTCATGTTTCCTTATTTTGAAAATAATTTCCCAGAGATGAATTCTTAGGGTTTGGAATACCATGGACCAGTATGCTTCTCCATTGCCAGTTGCCTACCAGTAGCTCATGAGTGCCTCTTTTTTCCTGAAGCCTCCAAATGGATGGATTACCTTTCTTTTTTCCTTTTTTAATTTTTCTTTTGKTTTTCTTAATAGTAAAAAAATTGATTCACTATTGCTTTAATCTGTACTTCTCTAAGAATTGTTCTTCGTATTTGCTATCATTTCCTGCTTTCTCGTTGTTCATTGTTGCTGTCAGTGCTTCTGCCATGGATATCTCATAATGTCCACATGACGTAGCAGAAGTTGCCCACAGACTGAGAGGCTGAGGTTCCCACACAGGTTCTGCTGCTGTGTACTTGGAGACATGACCCATTGTTTACTCAGTTCTTAACCTCTGACCTGGGGTTCATTGTACCTGCTGTGCCTGCCAGTGAGCTGTGCAAAGGGGTCCCCACAGGCTCAGGCGACAGCCCAGGCTCTTCCATGCATTTTCAAAGGGAGTATGACCATATTCTTGGGTCAGCTCTCTCAGATCCTTGGCATAATGTCCTTTATTAAGTGGAACATGCAGGGAAATACCTGCAGGCATGGAATGTTGTTCCAGGACAGGTTGTTAAAAGATGCAGTGTCAGTGGGAACAGTATTCTCAGGCCCAGGGTCCAGCCTGCAGGCAAGCTCCGGGCATTGAGAGAGAGGAGAGTGGCATATGGGTGCTCAGTGTTCAGGGAATCTTCCTTATTGCCTATCTGAGGCCCTAGGGGGCTGGGCAGTGTGGACATATGCCACATGGGGACTGTCATGGCCTTTCATTACATGGTGTTGCACAGATGGCGTAGCTGAAGCCAAGCAGAAACATGCTGCCTCTTTTTGTGGCACGAAGGGCTTGTCAGGGTCTCTCTTGCTCCTTATACTTTAATAAAATACCATTAAAAGTTCATTAAAAGAACCTGTGCTGGTTTCAGTATTTAGACCTGTCTGCTTTATTTCTCTACCAGCAGTAGACATAATGCTTTCTAGCCCACTTTGGGCCATTGCCTTCCTTGTATTATCCATTTATTCTAAGAAATGTTACCAGTTTTAAAAGAATGTGCCTTTGTCATTTCTGAGCCCAGAACATCTAGACCCCAAAATTTAAGGTGTTTTAAATATGTAGAACAACCTGTGTCCCTATAAAAACTGGCTAGGGTATGAAGGCACATAAATGCATTTAATCTAGTAATACATTTCAGGAATAATATGTTCTCGGCTTTTTTTCTTTTGCTTTCAGCCTTACAGCTGTGGTGGAGAAGGGGTATGAGGAATTGAACCCAGGTTACTCTACCACTGGCTACATCCCTAGGCCTTTTTATTTATTGTTTTGAAACAAAATCTCTCAAAGTTGCCCAGGTTGGCCTCTCATTTGTGATTCTCCTGCCTCAGCCTCCCAAGTCTTATAGGTGTGTGCCATTGTGCCCAGTGTTTGGTTGTATTTTTTACTTAGTGAATTTTTATGTAAGTAAAACTGGTAGGTAGATGGGAAATGTTAAACTTTTAGTTTTTATTAAGTAATTAATAAAATAGCCTCAAACATTCAGTGAGTATGTACACATGATAATGATAGAATTTAATAACAATGGAGCCAGCATTTGTTGAGCACGGTCTATATGCTGAAGCCCTGTTCTTGGCACCTGGACGCTAGTTGATTCTGCATGTTACACACCACTGAACCATGGATCCATGTATGTCATGTATGCAGGAAGGTGGCTTCTAGATAGATCTGAGCTGTCAGCATTTCAGTTTATGCTTGCACTGTCTCACTTTAGTGGCACGAATGGCATTGCCCTGAAAACTGTAGAGGGAAGTACCTGTTAAAACTCCCCATGTGGATAGCTGGTCCTCACCTCTGTGGCCGAGCATCCCTGCCAGGTACTCTGTCAGGGGTCCCCACACGGCCAGGGATGTCCTTGTAAAGAACCTCTCTTGCTCCTTTGGCACAGTGCCTCCTCTGTGCATTTACCAGGCACATACCTCACCCGCAGGAGGCCCCACAGACAATCGTGGGATGTATGCAAGAGTCATGCCCCCAGCCAGCCTCCTAGTGCAATTCTTACCAGGGAACAAAGCCTCAGTTACTTCCTGGCACCTTCTGAGAAGGAGACGGTGGAGGTTGTCCTCGTGGCTGACAAGTAGCCTGTAGTTCGTCAGTGCTCCTCCCTGTGCTTAGCATATCTGGCCAGGGTGCACATCTGCCGGGGGGTGCTGCCGTCTGTGTCATTCTAGAGATAACACTGAGGAAAGCCTGCCCCTGGTGACAGGTTCTTGTGAGCAGGTGTAATGTAGCTGCCTGTCCCTAGAACCCCTCACTTGTTCCCTGGGGGGCCATTAAGCCACAGAATGACCATGTGCCTTGCCCTGGGTAGGCCAGAATCCTGACCAGTTGTAGCTGCAAAGCAGAAAGGTAGAGGTTGTAGCTTTGAGAAGGGACAACATGGCCAAGAGTAGAAGTCACTGTGATGTCACCTGAATTCTGACAAGCCTGTGAAAAGGGCCTGTGGTAAACTCCCAGTCCCTTGCCCCCATTTTTYCCCCCCGGTTAGAGGAGCTGGTACTGAGGATTGAACCCAGGAGTGCTCTATTGCTGAGCTACATCTCCAGCCCTGGTTTTATATTTTGAAACAGGGTTTCACTGACTTACTGAGGCCAGCCTTGCATTTGAGATTCTCCTGCCTCAGCCTCCTGAGTATTTGGGATTATTGGCCTATACTGTCATCTCCTGTCCTCATTTTTTGGGTTACGAATGTTTTGCCCCCTCTTTCTGAATCAGTGCCAAGTAGGAAGAACAATGAGACACGTTTCTGTTCCTGCTATGGCAGGATGCTTTGCAAGGTGCAGAAACATAAGAAATCAAGGATAAACCAGAAAGAAGTTTTCTTCCTCATAATACCATAATAGTACTCATAATCCCATCTAGAAACAAATTTAAAAATGGAAAATAAATGAACCAAAAACTATCATGTAAACAGTGAAAAGGCTGTAAAACATTCAAGGTATCTTTAGCTTGGGATGTCATGTTAGCATCCAGCTAAGGTGGGTGGGAGCACCTGCTGCCCCTACTGGGTTGGTCCACTGGGTGTGGCCTGGTCTGGGGCAAGTTACTGTCCTTCTTCAGGCCCTGACTCCAAAGTGACATATTTTCTGGGGCTATGACTGCTGCTTCTTATTTTCTTCATTTCAGCATATGTACTCCTGTGGGTCCTACATACTGAGCCCACTGCTCTGCAAGGTGCCATGATATTGTACCCATCTGAATGTGCCACTTTCTGGAAGTGACATTATTCAATGATGCCCTTCATACCTGCAAGGTGGTGCTAAGGAGCAGGGAACCAGGGCTAGAATACCAGCCATGCACTTGGCCTCTGTTAGTGCTGAGTCTATTCCATCTTCCCTCATTTCCCACAGCCTTTTTTGAGGTGGGTGGTTAGTTCATTTTACAGATGGGAGGGGGTCCCAAGACTTGTCTCCAGCTCTCTGGACCGTAAGTAGGACTCAAGTCCTTGGCAGACTCCCTGCAGGGGGTGCCCCTTCCCCTGTCTGGCTGTCCCCAGGTTGCTGCAGATCAGAAAGCATTGCTGAGCAAGAAGGCAACTTCTGGTTCCAGGGCACTAAGGCCARAGCAGTGTGTACAGTTGTGTGGCACTACCCAAAGCAAGCAGCCCATGTGGCATTGCTTTGGAATTGCCTCTCCTTCCTCTGCAGGTAGAGGAAGCCACAGTTGTCAGTTCACAGTTCTAAATGTGCAGCCTTTTGAGATAAAAAGATTTAGGAAAGACTGTTAATATTTTAGTTGTGAGGACTTATGCTCTCTACAGATGAGTGGGGATAAAATGATCAGAAATGATAAAAAGATCGGAAATGAAGAGCCAGGTGGAATGGTGTACCCTTCACACATTTTTATTTCATTATTTTAATAACTTAAATTTTTTATATATAAGGACATATCCCCTCTTTGGTGTAAATTATCATTTTTTCAAGATGCTTTATGGTATGTAGCTGTGTCTTACTCTAACTAAACCTAATACATAAAGACTGAAAATATATAAACAAGTGAATAGAGGTATGGATGATCTCTTTATAAAAACTTTCCCCATTTCTAGAGGGTTCACATCTGAGTTTCTTTCAATGAATGAAATATCCTCTAATGTATTCAAAATAAAGTTTGATTTCCCAGGGAGACCTTTTATACATCCCTTACAGAAAGAGAGGCCTCTTTGAGTTTCCTTTGGAATGGAATGAAGTGGAAGTTGGGGTGAAAGGGCATAGCATCCTTCATGAATAATTCAAACTTGACAGGAATTAAATTGCACCTTCTGCATGCTTGACGTCCCAGTGGTTTACAAATATGGGCCTTACCCTGTAAGCTGTGGTCAGGGTTTAGTGTACATTTGAGCTCATTGCCCCTTGTGAGTCTGCCTTGGTCCACCCACCAGCTGCACTGGGTCTGCAAAACAGGCCACCATTCATAAAATCATAGACCAGCACAGCAAAAAGAAATCACCTAGTTCAGTGGCCTTCAGGGTGTCTTTGTTTTATTTTTTGACCTCGGATACTTTATTAAAAAAAAAAAATCAACAAGTTATTTCATTATTTTAATAACTTAAATTTTTTAATTTAAGTTGGTATGTACATTATGATTATTGGGAAAAGAAATCAACCAGATCAAGCCCAGTGACCCTCAGTAAGCCTCACACTCTAGGCTTCCCTGCCCGAAATCAGCCTTGTTTCCTGGCCCTGCAACTTGCCACTAGGTRCCTGCCCTCCGTATTCTGCTGTCCTGTCTAGGCTTTGGATGGTGAAATTTGCTCTTGCCTGCCCTTGCAGTGATTGCCTACTGCATAGTGGATGTTAATAACCTACTGGTTATTAATGTAGTACCCCTTATCCTAGGGGCTCAAGGGCAAATGGCCATCCCTCCTCATCTGTGGGTTCATTCTCCAGAGATTCAACTAATCACAAATTGAAAATATTTGGGGGGAAAAATTGTACCTGTACAGACTTTTTTCTTGTCATTATTCCCTACACAGTACAGGGTAAGGGATACTAATTGCATTTACATTGTACTAGTTATTGTTAGTAATCTAGAGATGCGTTAAATTATATAAGAGACTGTGCCTAGGTTGTTAGCTCATACTGCACCATCTGCATCCTCAGATTTTGGTGTCCAAGGAATCCTGGAACCAATCCTCTGCAGATACCAAGACACATTAGTACTGGGTTTTAAACCATGATGGAGAGATAGATGATAGCAAGGACATGTTTTCAAAGCAGTTTCGCCTTTTCTTTTAATCCCTGTGACATGGGCAGAGTGGATATATTTCAAAGATTAGGCTCTTCAGCCTTAGAAAATGAAATGACTTCCCCAGAAATGTACAGCTAGTGAGGGCCAGGATGAGAGTGCAGTATTGCTGTCACACCCCCATGTGCTCACATGTGCCGTGTGCATTCAGATACRTTCTCCCCATGTGGATTTCTATACATCACCTTCTTTTAAGTTTCTGCTCATTTTATATTGACCTAACTCAAACTCCCAGGAGTTGCTCTTGTCATTCTTGATGCTTGGAGTCAGATGTAAATGATTCACAGTTCACCACAGGGGTAGAGCCACAGAGCACAAAGTGACACACAGCTGTGACTAAGAACAAATTGGCAGTTTTGTGAAATCCCATCATGAGATGGGGGATGGTGTCCAGAGGACTGTGCATGTTGAACAGGGGTTTCCTCTGTGTCAAGGCAAAGGTTTGCTGATGCTGTCTGGAAAGAGACAGGTCAGTACACACAATCTAGAAGACACCAATATCCAAAAAGGGAACAAGTCTTAACTGGAGCCAGCCTTGGGTTCATCTATTTTACTTAAGGAGCTTAGACTTAAATATAGCAAATCTAATAAGATAAGGTGTAAGTATGCCTGAGAGCCCAAGTTCATGGAAATTGCTATGTTCACTCCTAAAACTTGGGAAATAGATGAGGCTGCTGCAGGCAGAGGTTGTAGCCAGGGGACTCCAGCAACTACATGGGCCCACAGGGGCCCTTGGGAAATCCACAGCTCATCCCGTTTAACTTGCTGTCATGTGTTGCCTCACATCTACAGTTCCAAATGGAGAAACCAGAACAGCAAGCTTGTTTATGTGACCAAGCAATGTCTACAAACTCAGCTCTTAATGAAGCCATGTTCTGGAACAGCAAGAGGATAAAAGCATTTGATTTGTTACAAACTTGGCAGAGCACATTAAGCTTTCTTTGGACAGGCACACTGGTTTATAAATTTACTTAGGTTTTTCCAGTCTTTTTCCTAGAATAAAGCCATATTCACCCACTTATGTTTTTTCCCCCCTCTTCTTTCCTCATCTTAACAGTTAAATGCAAGTTTTAGTTCTTTTCTTTCGAAAACAATATCTCTGRCTCTACTTTTTCTACTCCTTACATATATTACACCCATTATCCATGGGGGAAATGTTCCAAGACCCCCATTAGATACCTGAAATCATGAATTATGCTGCACCCTATAATTTAATGTATTACCGTCTTAACTAAGCACTTACCATGCACTGTGGCTATAACTTTTGCAGTTTGAGGTTCAACTGCAAAGCTAACATAAATTTCTCTTTTCTTTCTTCACAATTTCACAGGTAGCTAAGATTCATTCTTACTATAAATGTTAGCAGCCTCAGCATGTGATTTTTTTTTCTTCAAGTGTAGAACTTTCATTTTTTTATTTAAAGGACACACTTTACAACTCTTCTTTTGCTTATTGCAGTTGCCAGCATACTACTCTCAGGCTTTGAGAGAGAGAGTGTGTGTATGTGTATATAATTTTAGTTGTAGGTGAACGCAATACCTTTATTTTGTTTTTATGTGGTGCTGAGGATCAAACCCAGTGCTTCACGCATACTAGGCGAGCACTCTACCACTGAGCCACAACCCCAGCCCCTCAAGAATATTATTAAAGTAAAATAAAGGTTACTTGAACCCTAGCATGTGATATCTCAACAGTTGATTTGATAACAGGGACAGCTAAGTGACTAATGAGGAAATAGAATATACAACATGGATACTCTRCACAAGGAGATGATTCACATTCTGGATAGGACATAGTGAGATCATGAGAAATTTCATCATGCTACTCAGAATAACATACAATTTAAAACATGAATTGTTTATTTCTGGAATTTTCAATTTTATTTTTCTGGACTTGGGCTACTGAAACCACAGAATGTGAAACAATGGATAAGGCAGGTGACTGTATGCTCTAGTTAGTTCACTAGAGAAAAGTGTTGATTTATTCCTAAGAATAAGAATTTACACCTTGGTCTTAAGAATCTGAGTATTTCACCTAAGAGCATTGTAGATTGCTGAGCAGGATCAGCACTATGATGATTTCTGGAAGCTGGCTCTGTGACAGATCTGTGTATCCCAACCCACTTCATAGCAAAGCACATGTGGAGAGCTCCTGTGTTGGTCCCCTATGCTGGGAAGATAGATGAAGTTCCTGTGGGCAGAGGCAGTGACTGGATATCTCATGTGGGCTCTGGAGACTCYGCAGTTCATCCTGTTTAACCTGCTCTGCATGTGGATACATTTTGTGTTCAATAAGCCCCATTAACTAAGAGTCTGTTAGATTCCCAGCCCATGTCAGATCTGAGGTGGTAGAATTAGAAATGAAAAGATTTGATCAACTGTAGTGAYGGCAGTAGCAACTAAAATACACCATCGTTACTTCTGGCCCTATGCTAAGGGCGTACAGGGACTTATTCCAGTCTTCTAGAACCCCTGGGAAGCAAGTACTGTTTCTTTCCCAGTTTTACTGTGAATGGGAAGAGGTGAGTGGGAGGCCTGGCAAGAAGCAGTGAGGCTGGAAGAGCTTGGGACAGTGAGAGAGAAGAGCCCCAGGTGGTCACACCTCCTACCAGCCCTCGGACTCCCAGAACAGGCATGTCCATAGCAGAACTAGTCACACGCTGTGAAAGACCACTAACCGTTTATTTATCATAAGGACATTTAACCTTTTCATCCATGGCAAAGCACTCTGCGAAATTTTATAATTAAACAGGTTCATTTGGGAAAGGCTTTGGTAGTTGACAAAATAACACCTTCCTGAAGACATATTTGAAAATAAGCTTTTCTGGATTGTATAAGTCATTCATGTTTTGTGTAATGGTGAAATTTTTTATAAAATGTGTAGAAGAAAATGAACAGGGATGAAAATGAATAGTAGAGAAAAACATGATAAACAATGTTAGGATGTGTCTTTCCAGGCCATCAGCTGAGCCTTTATGGAGCACCAAGTTGTATTTTAAGTTTTTTCTAGAACAGAGATCGAGTTGCAAGGCAACTCTTTAAAAATTTTTATTTCCGACTTTCTCCAAGATAAAGGACTTTCTGGTTGTTGTTTTTTTCTTACCAGCTGTCAAATATTCATTGACTTTTATATCTCTAATGTATGATAAACTTGCACAATATATTATATGATCCCATTTGGAAAATAGATGTTTACCAGAGAAAAATTTATCTGAACACATTCCCCTTGTGCTGTCTCATAGATTCTCTACCAGAATGTTGGTGCTAGTTGCCTTTTTTGGAGAGACCTCGTACCCTTGTCATAGGTGAACCTCTGTAGGTCACTGGAAATGTACATATAAACTAGGAAGGGAAGAACACCTTACTTCCTCTTCTTTTTGTTCCAGGAAGGCGTGGAAGTGCGAGTAGCAAGAATCTTCAACACCTTCGGCCCACGCATGCACATGAATGATGGGCGAGTGGTCAGCAACTTCATCCTGCAGGCACTCCAAGGGGAACCACTCACGGTAGGTGCTGGCCTCGATAGGCCCAGGGGCACTTGCAACCCAAATCAGGAATCAGCCTAAAGTGCTGAGGACAAATGRGTCTTGATTCAGGGAATAGCATTTCCAGCATTGCCATTTAGGATTCGTTTATATCTCTGCTGTGCTTAGTGAAGRGAAAGGAAGGAAAATAGGCAGAACCTAGATAAGGGGCACAGTGTGAGGCCCTTCCATGTCAGTCTCTCCACACTGCCTACATCTTTGCTTCACCTTCCTATGCCGACAGGCCTGTTTATCCCTGTCATTTTTTTACCTAGGGCTATTACCAGAGTTGTAGCTGAACTCAGTGACCTTCAGGAGGCCAGGAAGCATCCACAGGTCAGGGTAGGAAGAAAGTGAGCCGCGTCTCAGTCAGTCTGGGAACTTACCTTGAAAGGCTGACAGGTGCCCAGCTTCCGCCTCCCTGCAGGCTCCTGGAGCTCAGTGGAGCCAGTGGAYTAGGGTCAGTGGTTCCAGTGAGCTTTGAGGATGAGAATGCTGACCCTTGTTGCCCCGGGTGCCACCTGTGGGTGTTGGAGGGCTTGCTCATTCCTCGTCCATCTCCCCCTCACCTACCTAGGGAGGATCACCTGGCTTCTCTTAAGTTCGGTTGGGTTTCTTGGCTTTGCTGACACCTCTTGGCTCTCCTCCTCCCTCTTCGGCCTTTCCCACCCTCTTTTTGGTCGACTCTCGTGATCTCTTTGCTCTTCACATCTAGAGTCTTCTAGAGTCCTTTTCAGCTTGAAGTTTGGGAACCCAAAGGAGATAAGTATCCTATTCCTCAGAAAATTCTGAAGGTGGGTTCCTTACTGATTATATTCCAGGGGAAAAAATTATAACTATGTATACGCTCCTCAATTTACACTGGCACTACGTCCTGATAAGCCCATTATAAGTTGGAGATTGTATGTGACCACCACAGGTCCAGGTGCTCCTCCACTTAAGAGGGAGTGTGTACAGGTGAGTCCATTATAAAGTAACACCATCACTAGTCGGGGACTGTCTGTCTGTACTTATGTTTCTACCCATTCCCGGTCAGTCCAGCAATAAAACTAGCTTATTTTTCTGTGGTCTTTATACCTGTTAACTCATTTCATGTTCACAATAGATCTCTGAGCTCCAGGTGACCTTAGTACCCTTTATTACACCTATTTTCCAGGTAAAGAGACTGAAACACAGAGGTTAAAGTGCCCAGGCTTCCTTGGCCAAATGGTTACTCCCTGTTTTCGAACCCAGTAACCCTTCTGAATCCCTCTTCATGTTTTGTCTCCATTGTATGTGTTAACTACTCCATGGCCAATGTAGAACAAAAGGCTTARCCTGTTACAAAGTAGAATGGCCTCCCACAGGCAGGTGCATCACGTAGGTGACTTTTGCTGAAAACATTTCAAGGCAGAGGTGAGTCCAAACTTCAGCTCTAGGTTCCAGTGGTCTGAGCCAACTCTCCTCTCCTCCTCCTCTTRTAAGTGGCATCTCAGTGCCCCAAGATGAAGGTGCCATGTTCACACATGTCTCTTCTTCCCAGACCACACATGGGACCCACTAGCCTCTCCCTTAGCCTGGCCCTGGGTCGCCCCAGAGGTCAGCCCTCATCTACACTGCCAGCATTCCATCCTGATGTAATGTTCTCCATGTTCAGCGTGTTATTGGCTCAGCAGTGAGCTGAGGGGGGGGGGGGTACCTTGGATGGAGCCCAGGACCTTGTGCGTGCTAGGCARGTGCTCTGACACTGAACTATACCCCCATTCCCAGAGCAGACCCTTTAAAGAGATGTCAGAAACTCRAGTGACTTTCACTTCACAGCAAGTGTAGTCCACAGTCCTCTTTCCTCAAAGCGCCTTGCTCTGCACTCCAGGTCGAGTGCACAGCTCCTCAGTCTTACACATCCTAGGAGTGTGTTTCTTCTGCCTGTTCTACCTATTTGCTGTCGCTTTAGGGAAGCCTTCTGGAATGCTTTTTCTGCATAATGACACCATTTTGGTTTCTAGTAACTGTTGTTTCATTGCACTTGTCTCCAACTGYAGTATAAATTTTCCAGCCCCTCCTCCCTGTCAGTACAGTGTTAATCCTTTGAAACCAGTAATTCTGTTTAATTCGCAGCTGTGTCCCTGGCCCTGGCAYGTAGGCCAGCATGAGATCAATATTGGTCAAATTAATACTTGGTTTTATAGTGACTGCTTTCTGTTATGAGTGAAAGTGGCTCAGTGACCTTTTTTGGAAGCCAGCCATTGTAATTGTTACTAGTAGGCCAAACTTACTGTGTCACTCCATGTTCCCTTCCTGCTGCTACAGTCTGTATATTAGCAGATTTAGCCAACTTTGGATGGAAAATGTTGGGAAAAAATTGTGTCTGTGTTAAACATGTGCAGAYAATTTTTCCTGTTATTGTTCCCTAAACAGTATAGTATCACAATAATTTATGAGGCTTTAACATTGTCTTAGGTTCTAGAGTTAATCTAGGGGTGGTGTAAAGGACATGGGAGGTTGTGTGTAGGTACCACACTATTTTATATAAGGGACTTGAGCATCCGTGCATTTGGCTATCTGTGAAGTGTCCTGGGACTGGTCCCCACAGATACCAAGGGATGACTGTGCCACAGGATCCCCTCCACCCTTCTGCTCTGTTGAGAATTCTACCTCTTAGGGACAGCCCTGGAGGCTTTTTAGCCACTGTGCTCAATAGCTCTTCCTTATACCAGATCAGAGCCACCTTTTTGGCATAGTAAACTCTTAACAGTCTTCCCAGGAACAACTTCCTGATTTATGGCCTCCTTGGCAGCAACCTGGGCCCCAGTGTTAGGTGGGGAGCCGGCCCCTGGCTGGCCCCACAAGTGCACACATTGTCGGCAGAGAGTGATGATTCATGTGTCGTCTACAGGTCCTGCAAGCTTCTGGGCCAGAGGCAGGAAGGGAAAGGTGGCTGGTGCCATCGTGAGGGCCATTAATCCAAAGTGCCCCAGGCTCCTGTCTCTTCTAGACGCCTTCTGGGGGCAGAGGCAGGAGTCCTGGGAGCCTTTCAGAAGGGAGCTTATGTTCCTTTGTCACACAGAACTCTGTCTCTCATGAAGAATCTRTCTTCTCTGTACAATTGAGGTGTCATTCATGGCTCTTGTGGAGGACTCTGGAAGTTGTCTGAGGACACACTCGACTTTTTCAACTGAGGCTCTTCTTTTTTTATGAATATTTTTWTCAGTTGTAGATGACACAACACCTTKATTTTATTTTTATGTGGTGCTGAGGGTCGAACCCAGCACCCTCCACATGCGAGGCGAGCGCTCTACCACTGAGCTACAACCCCAGCCCCTATTTATTTATTTTTCTGTGGTGCTAAGGATTGAATCCAGTGCCTCCCACATGCCCTCGGCTGCTCCTGAGAAGGCTTCACTGAGGAGGGAAATAGGAGATAATCTGTCTCCCCTGTTGCCATGATTCCAACCAGTCTTTCTAAGACARAAGACATCCTCAGGTTGACGGCACCAGCTCGGTCCTTCCCTTCCCCTTGCTGAGCTGGCTTAGTGCAAGCACTTGTTCTTTCAGGCACCCCAAGCAGCCCTCTTTGCCTTGGGGCRCGCCCGAGGGTCTTACTGGCAGTCACGTCAGATGCCTGCCATGAGAATGAAGTGAGGGCACAGACTAGTACATGGAACATGCATTTTAAATCACATAGACGTTCAGAAGATACTTGTCCAGTCTAGGTATAGAAAATAAGTGAGGGGCTCGGGATGTGGCTCAAGTGGTAGCGCACTCACCTAGCAGGCGTGAGGGACTGGGTTCGATCCTCAGCACCACATAAACATAAAAATAAAGATACTGTGTCCATCTAAAACTAAAAAATAAATATTAAAAAAAGAAAGAAAAAAGAAAATAAATGAGTATGGTTCAGGTTTAAGTTTATTTTTGTTAATTCAGTTAAAGCATACACACTCACAGTTGGATTTCTGTTTTTCCATTGATTTATTTCAGTTTACAGGTAAGAAAACATCTTCATTAAAATGAATTTACYCAGGTCATCCCAGATGTGGCAGAATTGGGGTCTGAATCGAGTTCTATTTCAATTTAAAAGGCTTAATGTTTTTCCAGAGGACAATTTTAGACCGCTGTATTTCTAAGACCCAGTTCGGAGTTGGTGTGGTGATCCCCTTACTGATGCTGTAGTGTTTTGAGGGCTCCTGACATGGGACCTTCATTCATGAAGTGCAGCCATAGGATCTATTAAAGAAACGTTTCTTCAGTGMAGCTTGTTAAAAGTTTATTCAGAACTGTGATGGTAGATAGGGGAGCATGGCAATGGGCTTTTGTATCCATGGAGACAGGTTGAGCTCAGCTCCAAGTACACCATGGGCAAGTGGGAATTTGTAGCAGTGAACAGTTTGGGGATTGGTAGGTGGAAAATTAATAAGAGGAAGCCCTGGGGGTCAGGGGAATTCTGGCTAAACCAATCTAATCCGATTCTTGCTGAAGACAGGCCAGAGTGAGCAGACATCTCCTGAGGGAAAATGGAGGATGAGGAACCTGATCAAATGTGGAAGGCAGTCAGATGTGGAGGTGGAGTTTCTAGCTAAACTGACTTAGCTGGGTTCTTGCTAAAACTAGATCTTAGAAAAAGTGAACAGACAAACCTAGGAGACATTTTGGAGCCTGACTAAAATTGGGTTTAGCAGAGAATCTTTTGGTATCTTGAGCTTGTAAGGCACAGTGGTAGAGAACAGTGGCATGTGGCCAGCGGACAGTTCTCTCTCACCTGGCCCCCTCCCTTCTTGGGGACTCCTAGGACACCATGCTCCTTTGAGCTACACACAGCCCTTAGTCCCTCAAGCACCAGGAGTGGCACTGACTCTTTCCTTGTCTCCCAGTTCCATGAAACGAAGTCAGAAGACTGAGTTGCCCACTCACTGTGCACAGAGGCCTTGGCTTGTGCAGATGCTCCCTAATGGCACCAGACCCCTGTGTGACTCATATGCTGGCCTTTGCTTTGCACCCACTTTGTGCCAGATCAGTAAGAAAGATATGGCCTCTGCCCTTGCAGACAAATAGACCAGAAGTGCCAGTGAGGCCAGAGAGCTGGGTGTGTCAGTCGGGAGCTGGGATCTGCCTCCAAGAGTCCCACTCATTTTTCCTCACTGTCCCTYTACTGAGGTCTGCTGCTGCTGTTTCTCAGTCTTGTCAGCCTTTTCTTACTGGGGAGCCATCTACCCTAGCACAGAACCTAAATAGAGCTGAAACTGATGGGATCAGCAAGTGCAAATGTGTATTAAGGAGGACAACCTTTAAACCTGCTTTAAAAAGCATAACATTCAGGAACATTCTTTTCTTCCCTACCTGTTCCTCGCCCTTTTCCCGCCTGCTCAAATCTGATGGGATGAGCTCCTGAACGCAGTACTGGGGGAGGTTGCTGGGGTTGGGGCTATCTGCAGAGCTGCCGACTTTCTCCTCTTTGAGATCAGACCATATGGTGGGAGGTCAGGCCAAATTGATGGGGAGGGGTAGTGGGGTATGAGAGTCAGGCTTACTCCCAAACAGTTGCTCTTGCAGCCACCTTGTTGCCACCACAAGCTTGCAARCAGATAGAAACTCTGGTGACTTGTTGTTCTCTGTGACTATARGATTAGGAAATCTCTCAAAGAGCCTTCTGTTTTAGTCTCTTCATTCTCAGTAATGGTACAGGTTGAATATCCTCAATCTGAAAATCCAGGACTTTTGGAGTGCCAGCACGGCACTGCAGATGGAAAGGTCAACATCTGATCTTGTGCACTAGGTCACCATCAAAAGACAGACACACTAAAAGGGTCACATAAAATTACCTTTAGGCTCTGTGTCTAAGATGTATATGAAAAGTGAATGAATTTTGTGTTTAGACTTGGGTCCTATCCCTAAGATGTCTTATGATGTATATGCAGATGTTCTAAAATCTGAAAAAATTGAAACCTGAAACAGGTGTGTTCCCATGCATTTCAAATAAAGAAAACTCAACCTTTGTAAACTACAGAATTCACAGGTTATTGTTTAGCAAGTATTCATCCTGCACTTGCACTATGCCAAGCGTTGTGAGCCCACAGTTGGGAGAAACTGGCATGTGGAGTAGACATTCCTGGGGAATGAGCTTAGATGAATCTTGCCGAGAGTGGCATCAGAGCTGGTCTGCCAGGTGGGAAGCAGACAACTCATAGCTAGCAGGGCAGAGAACGTGAGACATGGCATAGTGGTGTAGAAATGCATCCTGGAAAGAGAACCTGTGTACTGGGTGTTTGTGTTGCAGATTTCCCCACTTGTAAAATGGAATAATAAAGTAATTACCTCATAGGGTTGGCATGAGGATGAAAGGAAAGAATGACCCTATAGTCTTAGCTGGTGCCAGACATATAGTAAGTGTACAGTATGTTAGCCACTGCTATTGTTTTTGTGCAATACAGTGGCATATGTGTAAAGGCCATGGGATTGTGTATTTGCTGTTTGCATTTTTCTTTTTTTGGTTTTCCTTGTTCAGTAAGTAAAAATCAACACAAAAATTATCTCTGTAACAATCTAGACACATTTCCATTATAATTGAATTTTTGTTTGTTTGTTTGTGAGACTGGGAATCTTGTGAGTAAACCCATAGTTTAGATACATCAATTTACAAAGATTCATGTCCTTCTGTTGCTACTTCCTTAGCCATCATTAATATTAAATTAAAGCACATGCACAAAGTAAAACTATCTAGTGTTTCTTAAAATTTTCTTTTCTTAACAGTTCCAGCATGTTTAGGAGTACAAAATTTTAGTCAGACTTTGGAAATCTCTGCAAAAGACATTCCCAGAGTAGAAACTGTGAAACCCATCATATAGGATGCAGTGACTGAGTATAAGACACGCATTTCACTACCAGCCCACCACTAACATCACAGTGAGGCAGCCTGAGGCACTGCAACACACTGAGCTTCAATTTCACATCTCCAAAAGAGGAATGGTTGCAACTTTTCCAAGAAAGGAGGCAAGGATTATAGGCTTAAGCAAGAGGGATTGTTACTCAATGCCTAGTCCAAACTCCCATTCAATTCCTGTATCCCCTATATCCCCTCCTTGACAAGTAGGTTTCATAGATCTGCTCAGAGTTTACATTTCATTGACAGGGACTTTGCTACTATGGTACTTAGAGTATTTAAAACATAAAACAATGAAAACTTGCTCAGTTGAAATATCCCACTCCTTCTGCCTCGCTGCTTTCTTGTACATGAAAGGCAGGAGAGCAAAGTGTATGATTGAATTTTGATGGTCATCATAGTCCTCTGCTCAGTTAGAGCAGGGGTTCTCCAAGCATGGTCCCAGGCCCAGTAGTGTCACCATCACTTGCAGAATTATTGGAATTTCTAATCTGGCTCTCCTCCAGATCTTCTGATTCAAAAACTCGGGGATATAGTCCAGAAACCCATGTTTTAATAATCTCTCCTGGCAGGGGTTGGTGCATACTAAGTGGTTTTAAGCCTTGGCTGCACATTGGAATCATTTTAGGACCTTAAAAAGTAATGATGCACGGTCCCACCCAGATCAGTTAAATCTGTCTGCCAGTGGTGCTTAAGCTTTGGTAATTGCAGAAGGCTACCAGGGAACACTACTGTGCAGCCAAGACTGAGAACCCTTGATATGGAGATGCCAAGTGAGATAGGAGGAGCCCATGGCCTTACGGGCAACCTTCTAACCACCTTCCACCATGCTTGGTTTCTACAGGAACCTCCTGTACTTATTAATTGATTCTAAGTTCAGGAGAAAAGAGGCGGATTAATAAGATGGCACTTTGGTCTCGCGTCGATTCCCCTGGGTGGCTCTCTTGACTTTGGAATCACGTAGGGAGCTAGGTATAGAAATACTGAAAGCTGCCTGCCTCACYTCAGAGTCTGTGGACCTGGGCAGCAGAGGAGTACCAGCTGTTCTGATAGACAACCAGAGTGAAGAACCCCAGTGGAACCCACTTTATTCTTTGGGTTTGGGTCTGTTATTCAGGTGGACTCTGGSATCACAGTCCCCAGAAACTCATGAGACCCTGGGGAAGTAGGTTCCTTCAGATAACCATAATTTAGGAAAAACTTTATACACATCAACATACATGCATTAATTATTTCTGCTGCCTTCTCACCATTGGGCATAATTGAAGTACAAAATGTGAGATGTGGCTCAAGACTCTTTGAACAGTGTCACTGTCCACCTTTGGGGATCAGTTTTGAGGTTGTTCCCAGAATTCCAAGGAGCCTCATTTTCCGGTGCCATTGCGGTTTTTCTCAGGAGTCTTAACTGTTGCTTTCCTTCTAGGTGTATGGATCTGGATCTCAAACAAGGGCATTCCAGTATGTCAGGTATGGCTCTTAGCACTGATTTGAAWGAGGGGGAATGCAGAGTGGACAATTCTGTATCTATTCTATGTGCTAACTACTTCAATGACCCTGTCTATATTGATTAAATTTAATTTTAAAATCATGATGGGAAAACTTTTGCCATTCTCTGTTGAAGATGGACTTTCCTCTTCATGTCTATAGCTGCTTGGCTGATCTTTTACTGCCACCTAGTGTTGTGTAGGTGAAGTTGCCCAGTGCTGGGTGTGGCTTACATGACTTGGCTGCAGGCTTAGTTAAGAGAGGGCTTTACTGGGCATGGTGGCACATGTCTGTAATCCCAGCAACTTGAGAGGCTGAGGCAGGAGGATCACAAGTTCACAGCCAGGCTCCACAACTTAGCAGGGCTCTAAGCAACATAGCAAGACCCTGTCTCAAAATAAAAAATAGAAAGAGCTGGGAATGTAGCTCAGTGATTAACCCTCCCTGGGTTCTATACCTGGTGCCAAAAAGAAAAAGAGAGGGGACCTTATTCACTCAACCTGCAGATTCCAAAATCTGGCTCATTTTAAACATGCCTTTCTAGGGAGGAGGTGGGGGTCTTCATTAAAGATATGTGGTAAATAGTGTCCTAACTTCAAATTTTATGGTGAAACTAAATGCAGATAGAAGTAATTTTTTAATAGCTTCACATGATAGCTTTTTTTTTTTTTTTTGGCAGTCCTTATAATCTAGGTTTTTGTTGTCAGTTCAGTTGGTGACTAACTGTAGAAAGTGGTGTGGATTCTGAGTTACTGTGTTAAGCCATTAATAGTCCAAAGAATCATTCACCATTGTATAGCTATTATAATTTTTGTAAAAGTTTCTGGTATCCTGAATCATTGTAAAACCCTGTTCTATATTTGCTGTTTAAAGCAAATGCCCCAGAATGCCTGTCAATCCAAAAATACTGTTCCTGGTGCCATGGGGCACTAGAGTGGAGAGGGGGTAGCTGTGGGGTACAGGTCTGGGCAGCCCCATCTCAGCCAGCACAAGCACATCAGTCCATGTGCAGTTTAATGGGAAATGGCCGCTGCCCCTCCTTCAGGCCTGTTTCCATTTCAAAGCACTTAACTCAGGAGGAAATCATTTGGGTACATTTCTGTAGCGGGACCATATCAGTCAGGCTCCTGTGTATCGAGTATCATCTTTTCACAGTGGTACATCTTCATCCCATCCTCCTTTGCCACCCCCAGTCATGCACTCTCCTGGGGAGGTCGTAATGTCTTTAGTTATAGAAACTCATCTTGGACGACCTAATCAGTGGCCCCAAACTTCCCCAGTGCCCACCCACACCAGATGGAGTGTCCTAAAGAGGAAACCAGTTAGAACTCGTRCTTCTTACTGGCCACGTGACTTCAACGTTGATTTAAGTAGCTTCAGATGTTCTCTTTTTTTGAGGAGGGGCAGTGATTCAAACATTGTAGTAATCAGTGCTCGTACTGCATACTCTCCCACCCTGCTCTGACACTCTGCTGTCACACACATGGTGATCTCCCTGCCAACTTAGAGGGTTGGTTTTCCTAGAAATGTGGGTGCAAAGCATCTTAGAAAACCCTCTCCATAATACTGCAGTGTCATCTCGGGTTAGTGTTGTCCCAGATGACAAGGTTTCAGGAACTTTGCCACACTTGGGGACAGAATTTCCAGCATACACAGTGTAGTTATTCAAGTGCCACCTGAGATCATTAACTTACCAAAGTTTTGCTATTTTTAACAAGTTACTTTTTAAAAAGTGAGATATTTTACTTCATGGTAAAACCTGTACATCTGAATCCATAGTTAGCTGTACTAAATTTAACTGTTCCCAAATCTACAGTTGGTGCAACAATATCGCAGGAATTCAGTCTTGTTGGTCATCTACATTGACATTTGGCATGACTATGTCTGATAGTTTCATGATCAACTTATATCCTCATTCACATAACAAAGGCATGCTGTATTTTTTTTAAAAGTCACTTTGTCAAAATGACACTTTTAAAGAGCTTCAGGTTAAATGAGTGTGATCTATGCGATTTTGACCTTAAAAGTTGCCAGCTTGTTATATAAAAGGTGCATGGCCCTCCCTCCCCCTTCTCCCAATGAGGAACTTAGTATGATTCCCCAACCCCAGTTTCAATATTAAAACCTATTGTGAATGCTACTGAATGGCAGCTTTTAATGTCTCTTTACAAATATGCACAGATGGAAGCCATAAGAGAATGAATTGCCATGTAATGATCACTGCCATAGTGATGAAGTGACTTTTTGCCAGCTTCTTCAAAAAGAAAAATCATCCAAGGTCAACAGTGATTTGCATTTGCACTCGATCTGTGAGAATAGAATGTTAAGCATATTCATATAAAATACCCATTTGTTGAAAATGAAAAAAAAAAAAACCAGAAGTAACTTGTTTACTAAATATCTCACAAAAAAAAAAAAAAATCCCCCAAACAAAAGGAAAGGAAAAAAAAAAGATCTGGGGTTTTCTTTTGGGAGTTGATCATGACCCATAGTGACCTGCTTCTTGCTGGTAATAATGGAGGAAGCGGAGGGACAGGTTTCAAAACAGACTTGGTTTGAACCACCCGGATGGAACTTTAAAAGTCTTCTTAGAAACATAGCTAATGAATGGCATTAAAGAAAGTGCTTGTGTTTAGCAGTGAGGTGTCATTTTTACGAAGTAACTTTTTTTTAACAGAGCCACACTTTAAAGCTTCTGAAAATAAGAACCAAACCTTGGTAAGCGAAAATTTGCTTACTTATCTCCACCTTCATGGCCCAATCACAATTCATTTGAAACATCCAGATGCCCTGACAGTTTCATATGAGATGTTTTGGGAGGGGGCAGGTTGAAGGTTGTGGGGGGACGGGTAGAAAACAATGTTCCAGTTGATTCCAATTCTCAGCATTGTTTGGCTTTATCTGTGATTTGCCAGTATGGGGAGACATACTGGAGTTCATTCATTTTGGTGTATCTTCTCTTATAAAATAAMCATATGCTTTCATATAGGTTAACAAATGTGAGTTCACATTAAACATAGGCTTCCACTGAAAACTGYAGATTCCATTTTTTTTGGAGGGGTGCCTATTTTAATGTGTTTTTGGTTTTGAATTATTAAGAGGGTTTCAGAAATACACAAATGTGACAAACTCGGCCCCATCACCCAGCTACCATCACGTTTTAACCACCCCTATCTGCCCCCTGAGAGCAAATCCCAGATGCCATAGATGTCATTCCATTCATGAATGTGCTAATGTTGTAAACACCATCTTAATTTGCAGGATTTCCTTTTAACATTGTTTTCCATTTGGGTTTTGTTTTCTGAGAGGTGGTAGATTTTCTTCTGGGGGGGGGGGCGCATACGTGACACTCAGCGCTGTGCACCTTGGCAGGCAGCACCTGACCCAGCTCCCCTTCTTTTCCAGTGATCTGGTGAATGGCCTGGTGGCTCTCATGAACAGCAACGTCAGCAGCCCTGTCAACCTGGTAAGTACTGCTGTGCTAGTGCTATGCTGGAGACGGACGTGACTCAGATTTTAGGAAGACAGGTTTCCTTAACATTCTTGTGCAAAGACCTGGGTCATCCACACCCCTTTATTTTTATTACACGCTGTTTAAAAAGACCCAGGAACCATGTTCCTTCTTTCCTGTTTTTTTTTTGGGGGGAGGGTCGTTTAGGAATGCCCACCTCATTTTACAACCTGTCTTTCAAAAATCTGAATCACATGTCTACCAGAAAGCCCAAGAAACACAGAGCCACTTTCTCCAATATTCCCATTGCTCTGTTTTCCAGTTCAGCCTTTCTTTATCCTCATAAGTAGGCCCAAGTCCCTTCCTGCCCCTTTTACCATCTGGTTTCAGAGCAGCCTAAGAAATGGGAAAGGAGGAGTATTGGGTTATATARTTACCAGCCTTTACTGTGGTGTCCTATAATTGGGGGTGTTGGGGATAGAATAAGAGTTACAGGACTGGGGAGGGAAGTGGGATCACCTATTAAAATGTGTGATGGAAAGAAGAAAAGGGGAAAATGGTTTTCCTGGAAGCCCCCCCAAAATAAATTCCCTTTACAAAACTAGCAGACTGCTTTTCCGGCTTGTCCAGAACACTTGTCTGTGAGTGCATCCATTTCTGTTACTGTTTTCCCCACGGCTTGTCCAGAACACTTGTCTGTGAGTGCATCCATTTCTGTTACTGTTTTCCCCACAGGTTTTCAAGTCCTTTATCATCGCAGTTGTTTAACATAGTTACACCCAGGGGGAATAAATATATTGGCTTCAGAAAGCTGATTTTATAATCCAAACCTTCATAGTAAGTGGCACCAAACATTTAGGAATGTTAGGTAAAAAARTATCTGCCCCAGAAAGTCAACCAGTGGACGTGTAGCCTCATTAGATACCCTTGACTATTCTTGTGCGTGGACATTCTGGAGGATGCCAGTAAAGGTGGGTGCAGTTAGCACTTGTAAGGTTGAGCAATTGTTGTCTTAGYGAGTTGAAGTTATTCAGGGTGGCAAGCAAGGCTGGCACCTTGTGGGATGTGGTGGGCCACCAGACATTTCTGAAAATATGGGTGACTTGGAAGAGTTAGTGGAGGTCACTGCTTCATTACGCTCATAACCAGAAACCATTTCTTCCTTAGGGGAACCCAGAAGAACACACAATCCTAGAATTTGCTCAGTTAATTAAAAACCTTGTTGGTAAGTAGAATAAACCACTTCTTAAGTGACGTTTTCTGTGCTTACCCTATCCATTAATAACACCTTGACTAGAAAAATGGATAATTAATATAAACCAATTGAATTGGATCAAAGCAGAACTTTTTATCAAGAGCACCTACTTGTTTTCTAATTCTTGAAGTAATAGAGAAAGGAGGTGGGGTTGGTTTTATTCAGTTTTAATTGGAGATCTACATGGAGTTAGGAGCAAGAGATTTGTTTTCAGTGTGCCACATGTGATTRTGTTAGGTTGTCCTACATGGATGATAGTTTGAGCGACTCAGATCCACAGCCTGAGGAGCCACAGGATCTCCCCATTGTTGCTCCATGTGGCCGTGCATCACACCACACCACCCACACTGGCTTAAGTCAACCACCATTTCATTTGCTCGAGATTCTACACTGGGGCCAGCCTCCACTAGGGATTACTTCTGAAGGTCTGGCTGATGGTCACTATTGTGGTTTTACTCTTCCGGTCCCTGGGGTCTAGGCCACCTTAGATGCTGGACCAAGGCATTTCTGTCCTCCATGTCATCCCTCCAGCAAGGTAGCTGGACTTCTTATGTGTCAGCTTGGGACGTGCTGTGGCCAGAGCATCAGTGACCAGGTCTTGGTGAGCCATAGACCTGGAACTGGCCATGGTAATCCCCCCATCATTCTGCTGGTTAAGGTGAAAGCCACCTAATTCCAGGGGAGGGTGCAGACGCCCCAGTGTGGCCCACTAGGAGTRTCCACCTCAGAGTTGGCCCCATCCCACAGTTGTGGTTTTCATGTACCTGGGTGTCATTCCCAGGGAATGTGTCTGCATTTGTGACCCATGTGGGTGGTCTTCCTTGAACCAGGCCCTCACTGTCCTGGGAGGGAACTTGGGCCTAGAGAGGAGGATGACCTTCCCCTTCCTTACCAAGCTCTTCTGGATCCAGAAGGAAGCCTTGGCGTGTCAGCTCAGCCACACCTATGCCCTGGATTCCCAAGGACAGTCCCCTATGCAGCTGGGTGACTAGTAGGAGCTATTTTCACATGGCCTGCATCCCTGTTTACTCTACAGTTAGGATTTTACTCAGAGGTGGGAAATAAAAGAACACCTTAGTGGTTTAGGATTCTCTCTTACCTTATCTTTTTTTTTTTTTTTTTTTTTTTTTTAAACTCAGGTAGTGGCAGTGAAATTCAGTTTCTCTCTGAAGCCCAAGATGACCCACAGAAAAGAAAACCAGACATCAAAAAAGCAAAGCTGATGCTGGGGTGGGAGCCTGTGGTGAGTACGGGGAGAAACACTGGCTCCAGAGGGTTTCTCTCTTCTGGGGTCCTGTGTCCTCAGAGGATGGGTGGCCCCCGGGGAGTGAGGTGGGCTCTACATCCATGCAGAGGGAGGGTTTTCTCCAGGCCATTAAATGGTGTCATGTGTCTCCTTCGTAGCTGGGGAAGTGGCTTGGGCCTGGTGGGCTTTGTTCTCACAAAGTCTCGCAGTTGGCTCAATCATGAAGACCATGTTCGAGAGCACAGTGGCAGTGTGGTCAGCCTCTTAAAGATCCCTGGTTGTCCCATGCAGCATTGGGCAGGGTTATAGTGTGAAGAGGAGCGAGCCGGACTGTGTCACCCCATGCCATCATAGTGCTCTCAGACTGAGTCACAGCCTTCTTTGGCCTGTAAGATGCTGTCAAGCGGGGCTGGCCCCCTCCCTCACCTGCACATTGGAATCATTTTAGGAGTTTAAAAAATAATGATGCAGGGCTGGGATGTAGCTCAGTGGTGGAGTGGGGCACTGGGTTTGATTCTCAGCACCCCATACAAATAAATAAAATAAAGGCCATTGACAACTAAAAAAATATTTTTAAAAAGTAATGATGCATGGTCCTGGCTGCCTTCTGCTCCTTCCCACTGCCGATGGTTGGGTGTTCCTCGTTTGCCAATGAACGCCCTCCCCAGAGCTGGGCGCAGCTACTCATTCTTGTCTTGTAAGTCTCTGTCCTTCCGAGAACACCTTTTGAGAGGACTGGCCACACACTCTGCTGTGTCTGACCATCCACCTTTTGCTTACTGCACATGTGCCAGTGGAGCAGGGGCAGGACACATGGCCTCRTGCACAGGAGCAGTCCCAGCAGCTGTCACAGCCAGACACACRTTCTGTGCTGGGTAAAGGTAGGGCCATCCTAGGTACGGCCCAGCAGGTGAGGCTGCCTCACCATCAGGCAGAGTCAGAGACAGATGCAGCTCAGACCTCATTTTACCTTTTAAAAATGCATGTCCTGGTGAGCTGAGTTAAATAGAATCCTAGGATGTTAAGCCCTGAAGGGACGTGACAGTTCAGTGTGACCCTTATCCTGTGATGTCTACCTCTAAGTTGTCTGTTGAAGGCCATAGAAATTTGAYGAATGAAATAAAAACTTGCAACTAAATAAAAATTGACTTAACAAAACCTGATAATCCCAGCTGGGCATAACAAGTCACATCAAGCATGCCGGGTCTTTGTTTTTGAAGGAATTTGCCATTAGTCTAGTAGAACCTATATTTTAAGGAAAAAATTTATTTTAAGTTGCAACACTACATTTGAAAATGTCGCATTGTGTGAAGTGTGTACAGTCAGTATTTTTACTTATCTGTAGTTTAGATGTATAATATTCTGACTCTTCAAATATGAGTTTATCATTAGCTTCTGTTCTTTGTAGTAGTTTTATTTCAGAAGAAATTTTGAGTGAGTCTGATCTAAGGGAACATCTCCAACTTAATTTAGACATTAGACATCTCCAACTTAATTGTCCTCGTGGGGTGGGGGGCAACTTGTAGAGGTATAATAGCCATTCTAGGGTGAGGTGGTATCTCCTTGTGGTTTGATTTGCATTTCCCTAATGATTAGTGATGAACATTTTTTGTGTGTGTAMCTGTTCTCCATTTCTATATTTTGTTTTGAAAATGTCTGTTTAGATCTATGACCCATCTTTTAGATTTTTTTGAGTTCCTTGTGTATTCTTGTGTTAACTCCTTGTCAGAGGTTATAGTTTGCCAGTGTAGTCCCTCATTCTGCATTATTGTCTTCACTCTTTTGATTGTTTCCTTTGCTGTCTGGTGAAATCCTATTTGTCTATTTTGTGCTTTTGTTTCCTGTGCTTTTAGAATCTCAGCCAYGCTGTGGTATAATGGGCACCCAGCAAATGGCTCATATTTAAAATGTACAATGTGATAAGTTTTGATATATTTAGCCACTTGTGAAACCATCACTACAAATTAAGGTTGCTTTACATGACGTGGTGTTGTCATGGTTCCTCTCAGATTGCCAAGTCAGAGTGGGTACARGTGGACCATCTGCCAGAGAGTGCAAAGGATTAACGTCACATGGGAGGATGTGGGTCAGTCTGTGGGTCAATGCAGATGGTCTTCTCAAAACATTCTCCACTCCATTGTAGATTTCTTCTGAACAAATGGACTGTGTACATTATTTTTAAAACAGTTGTTGTGACTAATTCACACTGGAAGAGATATCACGCCAGCAAGAAGGGGTTCTGGGTCTTCTGGGGGTTGGATCTTACTGTGCATCAGCAGAGTATCACATGTTCAKTTGCACAGTGCACTCTGGCTTTGGAGGGACCTTTGCTCTTCCAGGGTGGGTCTGATGGCTTTCATGACCAGTGAATGGTTTTGTGAGTGTCCTCAGAAAGAAGCCAGCCAGCCAGCCACACATCGGCATTTCTRAGACAGTCTGCTGCTGTTACTTTCAACCAAGTCCTTCTGTGAATGTGACCTTCTCTCTCTCACTTTCTCTGTCAACAGGTCCCATTGGAAGAAGGTTTAAATAAAGCTATTCACTACTTCCGTAAAGAACTGGAGTACCAGGCAAATAATCAGTACATCCCCAAACCAAAGCCTGCCAGAATAAAAAAGGGCCGGACGCGCCACCACTGAGCCCTCGCTCTTAGGACACAAGACTCCCTGTTTTACACTTGATGAGATGTATTTTTTGTTTTTTTTTAAAAAAAGACTTAAACAGGTGTCATGAAGAACAAACTGGAATTTCATTCTGAAGCTTGCTTTAAAGACATGGATGTGCCTAAAAGCTCCCCTCAAAACCTGCAGACTTTGCTTGCACTTTTTGAATCTGTCTTTTTGTAAAATAGCCTCGATGCATCTCTGCATATTTTCAAGTTTTTTATCTTGCTGTGAGAGCGTATGTTGTGACTGTCGTTGACAGTTTTATTTACTGGTTTCTTTGTGAAGCTGAAAAGGAACATTAAATAAGATGAAAAAATCCTAATTTTATTTATAAAGTAAATAAAATGAGATGTTATACTATGCATAAAGAAAACAAAAACCTAGCAGTATTGTCAGGTGGGTGGTGCACTGGCATTTATTTTTGGACAGATAAAAGAATTCTGTTTCAGAGCTTTATGTTTCTTTTTTAATACAGAATTTTTCCACAGTCTAGTTTTTAGTTGCAAACTTGACTTTGAGATATTTTCTGTTGGTTATCATGATCAAGGATATTTGAAATCACTACTGTGTTGTGCTGCATATTTGGGGGTGGGGGGACAAAATTAAGGTATTCTTGGTAATTGTGGTTAAATTGCTATTTTAATAAAATATTGAAATTCATCAGTCATAAACTTTCAGTTTCTAAAGATTGCTTTCTGATTTGCATAAAACATTGGATTGCTAAAAAAAAAAAAATATTGGAGAACTTGACTTAGAAGACGATTCTGAAAACATCCAGGTTTATATAATATATAATTTGATTTGTAGATATTAAAAGCGTTTCTGTGCTGTTTGGGCTGAATCTATGCGTGTAATAGAGATTGTGTGTCCCTCATCTTGGGACCAGAAGTGATTCAAATTTCAGAGTTTTTTGAATTTGTGAATATTTACATAGACTTTATTTGTTACATTCTTAATCCCCAAAAGCAATCAAATTCTGCAAAGTTTGCCAGGCACAGTGGTGCACACCTGTAATCCTAGTGGATCTGGAGACTGAGACAGGAAACTCACAAGTTCAAAGCCATCCTCAGCAATAAGAGAGGCACTAGCAACTCAGTGAGACTCTGTCTCTAAATAAAATACAAAATGGGGCTGGGGATGTGGCTCAGTGGTCAAGTACCCCTAAGTTTAATCTTCAGTACCAAAAAGAAAAAAAAAAAAAGAAATTCTCCAAAATCTGAAACTTTAAGCATCATGTTAGCACTCAAAGATTTTCAGATTTGGGACTTTTAGGTTAGGGACACTCAGCCTGTATTAGCTGTGTGAAATCTCAGATCTCGCCTAGTGTTAGAATTGTTTTTGTGTCCTCTGGCAGACCAGATGTAGCAAAAGAAGTGCCTTTTGTCTTAGGTAGAGAGATTTGCAAACTGGGATCATTGAGTGAATACTTTGAGAGCTTTTGTTTTTATTCAGAACTCTTTCAGTCCTAATGTTAGGATTTTGTATATCCTCTTAAAATCAATGGAAGAACAAGACAATAAGTTAAAGCAATACCTCTTCCAAGTAGGTTAATTCTGCAAGACAGCAACAAAGCCGGGCACCATGGTGTATGCCTATAATCCCAGCAGCTTGGGAGGCTGAGACAGGAGGATCGCCAGCCTCAGCAAAAGCGAGGAAGCAACTCCGTGAGACCCTGTCTCTAAATAAAATACAAAATAGGGCTGGGGATGTGGCTCAGTGGTTGAGTGCCCCTGAGTTCAATTCCTGGTACCAAAAAAAAAAAAAAAAAAGCAACAAAATCCTGAGCAGGTGGCGGGACAGAAGTGAAAAGCATCTAAAAACTGGGCAGCCTGTGATACCTCAGAGACTYACCTCTCCTTCAGATCATCTTATGATTTGTTTTTAATTGAGTGTGTTTTTCTTATCAGAGTCTCTGGGACGTGGCCAAGGATGTAATGATTTTCTTTATCATGGTAAATTTGCCAGAAGATTCTGGAACTAAGACTGGTGTAGATTGAATGTGGTGTGAGARAGAAAGAGGAATCAAGGATGATATAACATCTTGTGCTTCAGCCCCTCACAGCCTTTTGTTGTTGTTGATGGGGAAGRAGCTTAAGGTCTTGTGTATGCTAAGGATGAGCTACATCCCAGTCTCTTATTTTTGATTCCCATTATTTTGACCCAGACTTAAGTGAGACACCGTTTATGGAGGTAGGATGAACAGAGTTGTGAAACTTACTGRAACATCCAGTGGTGGACCCAGAGTTGATACAGGGTTGGCTCAGGTTTTTGTGGTGTTCAGCTGGGCAGTGTGACCTGGAAGTACCCAAAGGCCCCAGGGTCCAGAATTCTCTTAACCTTGTTACTTGCTAAGACATGGGATTCATTTATTTGGTTTTCTTCCCTAAAATTCTCATAAAACATTTTCAGGCTGGGGAAAAGAAATGGAAGAGGATTTTCCTGTAATTCACCTTAAGGAAACATGTAGTGTGAGCTTACTTAGATAATGTGAGCTTTGAGTTGAGCAGTGCATACCCTGGGAAGAGAGGAGAGTGGAATTGGGAGGCCTGGAAAGGAATGAATAGGTGGGCAGATGGCTGCCGTGGTCCAAATATYTGTTCCCTAAAATTCACATGTTGACCTCATCCCCAGTGCAATAGTACCAAGAGGTGAGGTGTTCATGAGGCAGTTAGGTCAGGAGGGTGGGGCTTTCATGAATAGGATTAGTGATGTTATGAAAGAAGCGCAACAGCTTGTTTACGCCCTCTGCCAAGTGGGAGAGAATGAGAAAGTGTCATCTGTGAACCAGGAAATGAGCCCTCACCAGACTCCAAGTCTGTCATTACCCTGATCTTGAACTTTTCAGCCCAGAACTATGAGCAGTAAATTCCTGCTGCTTATAAAGTACCCAGTCTATTGGATTTTGTTACTGCTTCCCAGACTAAAACAGTGCTGCCCTCACATTTGGAAAGTGGATCCTGATTAAAGGCGTCATTTATGGCTGGCAGGGAGGAGAGACTGGTATGGGTTGATCTGTCACTTCGGAGGCAATCATGGTAGCTCAAGCAAGGTCCAAATCACTCTGAATATACTGGCTTTCAAGTGTTCCCTCCTGGATAATGAACACAGCCCACCAGCTCCAGCTGTAACCTCACAGCCCTGGCTGGAGGGACCGTCATGCTGGYTAAGGATTCTTGGTTATGTGTGAGCTTGACTTCATCCTTGACCCGGCAGCTGTGTTGAGTGAAATGGTGTTCTGATCACTGCTAGTAGTTAGTTTGCCCTCAAAAGACTGTCGGGATTGTGGAAATCCTCATTTATTTCCTAGGACAGAATAATTGTGAGTTTTAATATTTCTATATGTCTGTACTCTCTCATGGTTGATTGTTACCTTTGATAGATGGGGAGCTGAAATACTGCATTTTCCTGAGAACTATTACCACAGTAGCATGATGCGCTATGCTTCAAAGATAGCAGTGGGGCTTCGTTGCTTTAACCACCAAGATTGATAYACATGGCTCTTGATAATGTCCTATTTGTAGCTTAGTCACCTTGGGGAACAAGGGACATTTTTATCTATGTCTATGGGAAGGGAAAAAAGTAGAAGCTGAGGCAGGAGGATTGCAAGTTCAAAGCCAGCCTCAGCAATTTAGCAAGACCTTGTCTCAAAATAAAAAACAGTCTGAGAGGGCTGAGGATATAGCTCAGTTGGTAGAGTACTTGCTTTGTGTGCAGATGGGTTCAATCCCCAGCACCACCAAAAAAAAAAAAAAAAAAGTCTGGGAATGTGGCTTAGTGTTAAGCACCCTCTGGGTTCAATCTCTGGTACCAAAAAGAAAGAAAGAAACTTCTGACAGTTCAGATGTGGTTTGAGCGTGTCTTCCAGATGTTTGTGTGATGAAATGTTATCCCCATGTGAGATATTAAGAGGGTCAAAACTTAATCCAACTGTGATGTTTAGGGTGGCTCCTAGGAGGTGATGGGGGTTAGATCTGGACCTCAAGTGGAACTCCCAGGACCGAATGCTGGTGGTTTTATAAGAGAGATCAGAAGATGCACATGTGATGTCTGGGACTACAACTCTGCCTACAAGAAGCTATCACCAGAAATGGCACCTCAACTCTGAGCCAAAATAACTCTTCATTAAAACTTACCCAGCCTGTGATGTTGTTATTTGCAACATCAAATGGACTCATGCAAAAAAAATTGTACCAAGGAGTGGGCCTTGCTATAACTACCTGAAAACATGAAAGCAGCTTTAGAATTGGGTGCCCAGCAGAGGCTGGAAGAATTTGGGGGAGCAGACCAGGAAAAACCCAGAAGACTCAGCAAAACATTACAGCAGATCTGACAAAGGGCTCAGACGGTGAGGAGACTCAGGAAGTGGTCTTGGTAATGGAGATGCTGTTAGGAATTGGAGAAGGGCCATCTTTGTTGCACTGTTGCAAAGAATTTGGATGTATTTATGCCCTGAAAATTTGTAGGAGGATGAACTTAAAAGTGGTGGAGTGGTTTATCTAGTAGAAGAAACTTCTAAACCAAATATAGAAAGGGCTGCATAAGTGTTTTGGGCTGCTTTCAGTTGATTTGGAGCAAAGGGAAACAGCTGAAAGATTTAGAAAATTCACTGCCTTATCAGGGACGGAACAAAGAAAAAGTGTGTAAAGATGTAGCTGAGCACCTGCTTTCTAAACAGATCAACTGGAGAAAAATGAGCCAGTTGCTTCCATTGGGACAATTGGAAAAAAATCCTCCAGAGCAAATCAGAAATCTTCAAAACTGCCCTTCTCATCACAAGTCCAGAGGTTTGGAAAGGGCAGAGTGTTTCCTGGAGCCCTGAGGTCCCTGCACCTGCTTGCTGTGCAGGGCCGTCCCTAGATTCTGACCTGGCATCATGTCACTGTGGCTGCTGCAGCCATGCCTCAAGCAGGTCCAGGCACCACTTGTCCCAGCAGCAGACTTTCATGAGCTGTACGTGTGACTGGTTCTGCCAGCACACACAATGCAAGAGTCRGGCTCCACTGGGATTTCGAAGGAAGGCCTAGGAGGCCAGGTGGAAGTCCTTACAGGGGAGCCTCAAGTGGGGCAGGCTTCGTGGACTCCCCAGAGATGTAAAGCAATCAGCAGTATGCCACCCTCACCCATGAAACTCCCCAAGAATGTGCAGACCTAAAGGGAAACCATGTGGCCTGTGAGCAGTAAAGCTATAGGTGTGGGGCTGCCGGGGCCTGAGGGCACCTCCGGGCTTTGCCACAGAATGCAGAGGATGCCCGAGTTGAAGGTTTAGGATTTAATGTCTGCCTTGCTGAGTTTCAGTTTCTCTTTTCTACTTCCTTGTTTCTTATTTTTGGAATAGCAGTGTTTGTCCTGTCCCTGACTTGGTCTTGGAATAGGTAACTTGGCTTTGTCTTTTAGATGTTCAATAGATGAAAAAAAAATTTCTTTGAGACTTGGACCTGGGCCTTTTTTTTTTTTTTTTTTCTGGTATTGTGCATTGAACCCAAGAGTACTAGACCCCTGAGCCACATGCCCCTTTTATTTTTTTATTTCGAGACAGGGTCTTGCTGAATTGCTTAGGGCCTCGAAAAGTTGCTTAGGCTGGCTTTGAACTTGCAATTCTCCAGCCTCAGCCTCCCAAGCCACTGGGATTAGAGGCATGCTCCACTAGCGCCCAGCAGACTCGGGCTTT